CTATAAGGTCTCAGGTTTGATTCCCGTCAAGGGCACAGGCCCAGGTTGGCTCCATCCCAGGTAGGGGGTGTGCAGGAGGCAGCCAATCAATGATTTTCTTACCATGGACTAGAGGCCCAGTGCACAGATTTGTGCAACAGTGGGGTCCCTAGGCCTGGCCTCTGCCCTCTCACAATCAGGGACTCCTCAGGGGATGCAGGATAGCCAGTTTTTGCCCAATTCCTGCAGGCCCTATCCAGACAGGAGGGAGCTCAATCCTGGGCATTGAGCGTCTGTCCCCTGGTGGTCAGTGCACGTCACAGCAACTGATTGTTCTATCATTTCAGACACTTAGGCTGTTATATAATATATATAGATGCTTCTATCTCTCTCTCCCTCTGCTTTCCTCTCTGAAATCAATAAAAAAATACATTAAAAAATGGTAACATAAATTTATAGATTTTTATTTTCCTCTTTTCATTATTTTCTCAACCCTTCATAATAGATACATATTGCTAGTTTTTGGTTTCCTATAATCAGATAAAATGCTTATTCATGCATGCTCCTCCTCTACCCCCCCCCAAAAAAAAATCAGGAAGGGACAAAAACAAATGCTTATTGGGTAAATCATTCATTTCCCCAACGTGGATAATCACAGTAATAGAATCTGATGAGTGCTAAGTGTGTTCTGTGGGCCAGGCCCCCTGAGTCATACCCATCATCCCCAGAATCCCCCCCAACACCCCAATTTGCAGACGGAGAAACTGAGGCTCAGAGAGATGGAGCGGTTTGCTTAAAGTGGTCGTAAACATGCCCTTCCACCCCCTCTCCTCTTGCATTAGTGTCTTTGGAGAATTTGGGCAAATCCATCCAATAGAAACATTCTCTGAGTGTAGGGAGCGGCTATAGGGTTAAGCTCGGACCGACCTGCTGGCAAAGCCACAAACAAGTCCCAGCTTGGCGGACACAGCCCACTCAGCACAGTGAAGCTTGACCTTAGGAGGCGCCCTGGATCCTATCTGGGTGGCCAGTGGGCTGTGGGAGGGGCAGCCAGTGCTGCCAAAACCAGTGAAACTCACAGGGACATTGTAACTATGGTGACCATTACCGTTGGGATCTTTTCTTTCCTTTAAAAAAATATATATATTTTATTGATTTTTAACAGAGAGAAAGGGAGAGAGATAGAGAGCTAGAAATGTCGATGAGAGAGAATCTTTGACCAGCTGCCACCTATGGGGGTTGTGCCCGCAACCAATGTACATGCCCTTGACCGGAATAAAACCTGGGACCTTTCAGTCCGCAGACCGACGCTCTACCCACTGAGCCAAACAGGTTTCAGCCCATCGGGATCTTTTCTCTGTGGCCTCAGCCAGGCACAGGAGATCCACCTGGACCCAGTTTATTCTCTTTGTCTTTTCTCCATTCTTCACCACCATCCCTCAGGCTCGCCGAACCCTTGGCTGGGCTGGCACGGCACATCTGAGCCCTTCCTCTGTGTCTGGCTTGCGCTGACACAGCCGTGACCGATGACAGCCCCAGCCCTGCCCTCCCAAGGCTCACAGTCTAGTGAGGGACACAAACCCGTCTCCAGACAGTGAAGACCCCGAGTGGGCAGGGGTGGCACCACGGAGCCTAGAGGCAGTACTGGACCCAGCGTGGGCAGTCAGGGAGGGCTTCCTGGAGGAGGAGGTGAATGAGCTGAAACCTGAAGGACAAGAAGGTGTGATTTACATCAAGAGCAACCAAAGTGCCGAAACTGGTTTGGCTCAGTAAATAGAGCATCGGCCTGCAGACTGAAGGGTCCCAGGTTCGATTCAGGTCAAGGGCATGTACCTTGGTTGTGGGCACATCCCCAATAGGGGGTGTGCAGGAGGCAGCTGATCAATGTTTCTCTCCCATCGATGTTTCTAACTCTCTATCTCTCTCCCTTCCTCTCTGAAAGAAATATAACTTTTTACAGAGAGGAAGGGAGAGAGATAGAGAGTTAGAAACAGAAACATTTTTTTAAACATATATTAAAAAAGAAAAAAAGACTATACACAGCTTCACATCAGTCTACAGCTTGCCTCCAAATGTCTGTCTGTTTGTGTATTTTGTTTTGGGGGTTTTGAGGCCAAGCTTTTAGCTTCTGGGGTTTCCGAAGAGGAGGTCAGCGACGAGGAGCCTGTTTTATGATCATGACCCTCATTCTCTGGATGAGGAAGGTGACTCAGAGAGGGTAAGTGACTCGCCTAAGGCCGCACAGGAATGCTCAGCAGGGACTGAAGCCCGGGTCTTACTGGTCACAGTCTGTGCTCCTGAAACACGGCCTGGTCTCTCCAGGGCTGGGGAGGAGCCACAGCTGGCTGTCTGGGAAGGGGCTGGAAAGGAATTCTTCAGGGTTCCCTGAGAGCAAACACGAGGCATCTGCCAGAAGCCTACACGCAGGCGCCAGCTCTCGCGAAGGCTGAGAGCAGAAGACAGGAGGTAATACGGATGCTCATTGGGTATTTAATGTGTGCCAGGCACTCTGCTAAGCCTTTCCCATAAAGTTAATTTAGTCCTCACACCATTCAACACTTCCAGGCAGACACAACGTAATCCCCGCCTTGCCCTGGCGAGTGTGGCTCAGCTGGCTGATTGTCATCCAGGCTGTGAAAGGTCGCCGGTTCGATTCCGCATCAGGGCACATGCCCGGGCTGCAGGCTGGATCCCTGGTAGGGGGTATGCAGAAGGCAGCTGATCACTTTTTCTCTCTCACATCAATGTTTCCCTCTCTCTCTCTCTCTCTCTCTCTCTCTCTCTCTCTCTCTCTCTCTCTCTCTCTCTCTCTCTCTCCAAACCGGCCAGAGTTGACAAGTTCTTAAAAGACCCTTCCAGCTGCTGGGTCAGGGGTGGGTTGCAGGCAGTGAAGGTGCAAGAGGCATTTTCTTGGATCCAGGCAGCTGGTCCAGATCGGCTGTGCCTCGTGGGCCTGCCTGGATGGTGATGGCAGGACCTACGTTCACCCGCTGTGCCCCGTTGGTAAGAAGATGACAGCTCAGGGGGTCCCTAACCACAGGCCTCTTCAGCACACTGCAGGGTTAACTGTTATCACTGATGCCCTTGCTATAGTGCATACCCCTGCGGAGCTGGTTGCCTCAGGGTTACCTGGGAAACTGCAAATCCTACCCCACGGCCCCGCTGTCCTAACCCACTATGTCTGCGGCCGAGTATGAGGACTTTGGGTTTAATTTTTAAAAAATGTAATTCATTTTTTTTATTGATTTTTTTACAGAGAGGAAGAGAGTTAGAAACATCGATGAGAGAGAATCATTGATCAGCTGCCTCTTGCACACCCCCTACTGGGGATATGCCCACAACCAAGGTACATGCCCTTGACCGGAATCGAACCTGGGACCCTTCAGTCTGCAGACCAATGCTCTATCCACTGAGCCAAACCGGTTTCAGCTAATTTAAAATTTTAAAACATCCCCACAGGAGGATATTTTCCCATTCATTTTTAGGGAGAGGGAAAGACAGAAAAACATCGATGTGAGAGAAACACATTGATTGGTTGCCTCCTGCACGTGCCCTAACCGGAGCCCCCTTCAGTCTGCAGGCCGATTTTCTATCCACTGAGCCAAACCAGGGAGGGCTAACTTAATTTTTTCCATTAACATTTTTGATTGCTAAAAATCCAAGCAATCCGACTAGCTGGTTGGACAGCCTAAAGGGTCCCAGGTTCAATTCCAGTCAAGGGCACATGCCTGCGTTGTAGGCTCCATCCTCAGTAGGAGGTGTGCAGAATCAGCCAATCAATGATTCTCTCTCATCACTGATGTTTCTCTCTCTCTCCATCTCCCTTCCTCACTGAAATCAATAAAAATATATTTTTATTTACTATTATTATTTTTTAAAAATATATTTTATTGATTTCCACAGAGAGGAAGGGAGAGGGACAGAGAGCTAGAAACATCGATGAGAGAGCTTCATCGATCAGCTGCCTCTTGCACACCTCCTACTGGGAATGTGCCTGCAACCAATGTACATGCCCTTGACATCGAACCCGGGACCTTTCAGTCCCCAAGCCGACGCTCTATCCATTGAGCCAAACCGGTTTCAGCTATAAAAATATATTTTTTTAAAAATCCAAGCAATCGAAAGGATATAGAAAAGTACACGTGCCCAGACCCCTTCCCCATGCTTGTCTGTGTGTAGATTGAGTATAGACCTTGGCCCTTACACACACACACACACACACACACACACACACACACCCCAGACTTTCAGGTTCAAACCCAGGCTCTATCACTTTCTGATCTTGAGCACGTGATTTTATTTCTTTGGCTATCAAGTGGGACTGATCATGGCGTTCTCTGTCTCATCATGCTCTGGTGAGGATTTCCTGAGCTGGTTTCATAGGGAGCGCCTGCAATGGTGCCTCCTTCTCAGGAAGTGCTGGAAAAGCCTGACTATCCCTTTTCCTGGCTGCTCAGCACTGTCCTGTAGGGACAGATCATGGAATTGAGTCAGTCCCCTCTGATGCACAATTGGGTTCATGCGTTCATTTCACTCAAAACTACTTATTGAGCCCCTACTGTGCGCCAATCCCACGCCAGGAGCTGGTGCAGTAAGACCTGGTACCCTTTCCTCCATCCCCGTGGCTGGGGAGGTCGGAGGGAATTGCTGGTCCCAGAAGGCCTGTCCGTTCAAAATGGTGCTATTCGGCCATAACTGGTTTGGCTCAGTGGATAGAGCGTTGGTCTGCGGACTGAAGGGCCCCAGGTTCAATTCCGGTCAAGGGCATGTGCCTTGGTTGCGGGCACATCCCCAGTAGGGACTGTGCAGGAGGCAGCGGATCGATGTTTCTCTCATCGATGTATCTATCGCCCGTTTCTAACTCTCTATCCCTCTCCCTTTCTTCCTGTTAAAAAAAAAAAATCAATAAAATATATTTAAAAAAATAAAACGGTGCTATTCGGAGGCTTCACTAGCACTCCCGCCTCCGGGCGGGCTGGAGCCGCACGTGCAGGACGGCTGGTTTGGAAAAGGTGCTGACGTGGGCCTTGGCCCCAGCGCGGCCCGGGGCGCGGCCACTCCCCCGGGCGGGAGGGGAGCGCGGGCGCCCCGGACAGAGTGGCCAGCCCCCCTGTCAGTCTTCCCCGGCCCCGGAGTGTAAGAGGAGAAGCGGGAAGGTGGGCCCCAGCCCGGGGAGGGCGTGCAGGAACTTCCTGCCCTGCGCTGGCTCCCCTGCACCAGGCCCGGAGGGAGGAGGCGGGAGGGAGGCGCGCGTCAAGGTCAGCCCGGACCGGGGGCGGCCTGCCGAGGGGCGGGAGACCCTCCGGGGGGCTGGGCTGCCTCCTCCGAGCGCTCGGCCATATTGGAGAGCCGCGGCAGAGCCATCTTTGTCCCAGAAGTCCTCTCCCGAGTTCCAGGCGCGCCCCAGGGCCCGGGCCGGAGGCGCCCCGGCCGCCCACGCGCGCGCTCCAGCTTTCAGCCCGGACACCCCTCTTTCCGCTCGCGGGGGGCTGTGCGCCTCCGGACCGGCCTCAGCCCGGCTCTGGACACTGGTTCCCGCCGCTCGTGGCGGGGAGCAGGCCTGTGGGTCCAGCAGGACTTGTTGCAGGCGGAGAACTTGGGAGGCGCTGGAGAGGGGAGCCTCTCCGGGCAGCATTTGGGGACCCCTTCCCCGCTCCCACCCCACGTCTAGGGGAAGCGCTTCAATCTTGCAGGCGAGGCTCGCGGCCTCCCCACCCGGAGTCCACGCTGGAGATCCTCCAGACCCTGGAGAAGAGCCACGTGGGGGGCTGGTTCCCCTGGGGTTTCCTGCCGGCCCCCGACGGCCTGGTCCTCTGGAGCGTGCCCGACGCGTGCGAGGACGTGGACCTGGACGTGCTGGTGGACGCGCTGAGGCCCGTGGGCACCTTCAGGAAGGTCGGCAAGGTGTTCCGGCGCGAGGGGGAGGGCGCCACGGTGGGCATGCTGCAGGCCGGCGAGGACGTGGACTGCCGGCTCATCCCGCGCGCCGTGCGCGTGGCGGGCGGCGTGTGGCGGGTCCTCGCCAAGCCCGCCACCCGGGAGGCGGAGTTCCGCGAGCGCCTGGCCCAGTTCCTGGCGGAGGAGGGCCGCACCCTGGACGACCTGGCCCGCCTCCTGGAGAAGGGCGCCCCGCCCCCGCCCCGGCGCCCCCCGAAGCCCCCGGAGCCGCCCCGAGCGCGGAGGGCGGGGAGGGTCCCGCGGATGGCGCCGCCGCCGCCGCCCCGGCTGGTCGTGGGCACCTACGACAGCAGCAACGCCAGCGACAGCAGCGAGGGCAGCGAGTTCGAGGCCTCGGCCTCCCCGAAGCCGGGCGGGGCGGGCCGCGGGGGCCCCGCGCGCGGCAGGAGGGCGCGCAGGATGCCGGTCAGCTACCTGGGCAGCAAGTTCCTGGGCAGCGACCTGGACAGCGAGGACGATGAGGAGCTGGTGGCGGCCTTCCTCCGGCAAGGGGACCAGCCGCCCCCGGGCGCCCGGGCCCGCCGCCCCCGCGGAAACCCTCTGGTGCCCGGGTTCGAGGACGGCCCGGGGCGGCGGCCGGCCAGAGGGGACCGGTGGCGGGAGCTGAAGCGCAGAGTGCGGGGCTGGGCGCCCGGGTCCGGCCCTGCAGCGGGGGAGGCCCCACGGGCCTCCGTCAGGGTGGGGAGGGATGAGGGGCCCTGCAGCGCCAGGCCGGGGGAGCCCGTGGGGAGCGCAGAGGGGGGGCCTGTGCCTGAGGCCCCCCCACGGCGGCGGCGATGGAGGCCCAAGATTAAGTGGGCCTCCTTCAGGCTGCGCAGGAGGGAGGAAGCGGCATCCGGGGCTCAGGGGGCGGAGGCTGCAGGTGATCAGAGGGCGGAGGCTGCAGGTGATCAGGGGGCGGAGGCTGTGGGTGATCAGAGGGTGGAGGTTGCATCTGATCAGAGGGCGGAGGCTGTGGGTGATCAGGGGGCGGAGGCTGCAGGTGATCAGGGGGCGGAGGCTGTGGGTGATCAGAGGGTGGAGGTTGCATCTGATCAGAGGGCGGAGGCTGTGGGTGATCAGGGGGCGGAGGCTGCGGGTGATCAGAGGGTGGAGGTTGCATCTGATCAGAGGGCGGAGGCTCCGGGTGATCAGAGGGCGGAGGCTGTGGGTGATCAGGGGGCGGAGGCTGCGGGTGATCAGAGGGCGGAGGCTGCGGGTGATCAGAGGGCGGAGGCTGTGGGTGATCAGGGGGCGGAGGCCCCAGTTGTCCAGGGAGCAGAGGCCGCATCTGATGGGGCCCAGGCCAGAGCTGGCCAGAGGGCAGAAGCTTCCGCTGAAGCCGCCGCCTTCGCTGCCCCAGGGGCCCCCGGGGCCCAGAAACAGGTCCAGACAGTGAGGTTCCAGACGCCGGGGCGCTTTGCGTGGTTTCGGAAGCGCCCGAGAGCCTTCTGGCACACGGCCCGGCTGCCACCCCTGCCCAAGGGCGCCTCCAGGGCCGGCGAGGCCGGGGGCCTCCGGGTGCTGAGGGCCGAGGCCGGAGCGGAAGCGGAGCCGGAGGAGCAAGAGGACCCGCTGTGAGGTGCTTGGAGCCAGAGCCCCTCCCGGCCCCTCAGGGCGCCCCTCCCCGCCCTGGGACGTGAAAATGGAGGCGGAGCGCGGGCTACAGCACCCTCACATCTCCACCCAACACCCCTGTTCTTTTCCTGTTAAAACGTTATCTTTCATGCATTGATTAAAACAACAACAACAACATACAGCCGAGACCGGTTTGGCTCAGTGGATGGAGCGACGGCCTGCGGACTGAGTGGTCCTGGGTTCGATTCCGGTCGGGGGCATGTGCCTTGGTTTCGGGCGCATCCTCAGTGGGGGGTGTGCAGGAGGCGGCTGGTTGATGTTTCTCTCTCATCGACGTTTCTGGCTCTCTGTCCCTCTCTCTTCCTCTCTGTGAAGAGTCAATAAAATATATTTAAAAAAAAATACAGACTCTATAGTAACCCAAGGGATGTAAAGAAAGAAACCAGCACCTTCCTCAAATGCAGCCCTGGGAGCTCAGCTGGAAGCCGGAGCGAGGCCCGAGGGAAATCCCTTCCTCTCCCCCCCTCCCCCCGCACCTCCCGCTGCCCGCCTCCTGGGACCTACAACATGTAAATAAAAATGTGTACACGCTGTTGCCTGGCTTTGGACTTGGCAGCTGAAGACTGACTGTCCCAGGGTGATTGCCTCGCCCTTGTCCGCCCTCCGGGAGGCGCCCTGCATTTATGCCTGCTGTTCGCCACCCCGCACTCCTGGCTCTGCCGGCTCCAGGGGTCCGGCCCGCAGTGTATACGCTTCCTGTACGTCACAAGGGACAGAGCACTCCCTGGGAAATGTGTCCAAGTGCTGTGTTTGCTAGGGCTGCCTGTGAGGTCGAGGAATCTGTGTGTGTGTGTGTGTTTAATATATTTTTATTGATTTCAGAGAGGAAGGGAGAGAGAGATAGAAACATTAATGATGAGAGAGAACCATTGACCTGCCGCCTCCTGGAGGCCCCCTAACTGAAGAATGAGCCTGCGACCCGGGCATGTGCCCTTGACCGGAATCAAACCTGGGACCTTTCAGTCTGCAGGCCGACGCTCTATCCACTGAGCCAAACCATCGGGTTAGGACCCCATTGCTTTTCAGAGGAAGTGAAAGGGAGGGTCAGGGAGAGAGAGAGAAACATCGATGTGAGAGACACACATCAATTGGTTGCCTCCGAACCCACAACCCAGGTACATGCCCTTGACCAGGAATCGAACCCATGACCCTTTGGTGTGCAGGCCAGGGCTCTAACCACTGAGAACCCCTGCCAGGGCACAGGAATCTGTTTGGTCAAGCCCCGCGCACACCTGGGAAACTGGCAATGGGAATGGGCCGATGCGAGGCGGGTGTGGGGCCGTGTGGTTGCAGTTGGGAGAGAGGGGGCTGCTAAGGTCCGTGGGAACTGGGGGCCTCCCACCCTGACCCCCAACCAGTGAGAACCAGACAGCAACGCCCCTTCAGCCACTTCCCTGAGGGGGATCCTGGAGGAGGGGGTCTGAAGGCCGCTCCTACTTCTGCCTGTGGCTCAGCTTTCCCCCAGGAACCGAAGGAGGAAGCGGCCTCTCCCCGCCGCCCCAGAGGTGGTCATGGGGTGCTGCCGGCTGCAACACTCCATGACCCCCCCTCACCACTGGACTTTGAACGCCCCTTGGAGGGCTGGGCTTTGCAGGCAGCTGGGGGACAGCTGGGTGGGCACCGGGTGCCAGGCTGGTTGTGGCAATGAGGCTGTCTGTCTGTCCGTGGCTACGGCCCGCCTCGGGGAATAGCCTCCTTACGACGGGCCTTGGGCTATTGGGGAGGCTGGAAGGTGAACGGGGTAGAGATGGGGAGACTCAGGCTGTAGGCAAACCTACCCGTCCCCCCTCCGCCTGCTCATTCTGTCCCTCCTGTCCCCCTGGTCCCCGGCCTGAGCTTCCAGCGAGGCCGCAGAGGAGGGAGGATCCCTGAGCGACCTGAGAGGGCCAAGAATATGCTGCTGATCCCAGGACCTCGCTTGAAGGAGCGTCCATTTCCCCTGCCCGGCTTTCCAAAGCCTGGTGGGCTCCTGGCCCTGGGACGGGGCCTAAAGCGCCTCCAGCGGCCCCGCAGCGCCCTCTGGTGGGCACCGGGGGCGCGGCTGGTGCGGGCTTCCTGCCCTCTTCCTCCGCAGCGGGTCGTGGGCACTGAGCGCCCTTCCTCCCCTCTCTGAGCCTCAGCTTGCTCATCTGGGAAATGGGGATAAAACTCACTTCCCCAAAACTATTCCAACCACAGAATCGCCGGGACCGGTTTGGCTCAATGGATAGAGCGTCGGCTTAGGGACTGAAGGGCCCCGGGTTCGATTCCGGTCAAGGGCATGTACTTTGGTGCGGGCATATCCCCAGTAGGGGGTGTGCAAGAGGCAGCTGATCGATGTTTCTCTCTCATCGATGTTTCTAACTCTCTTCCTCTCTGTACAAAAATCAATAAAATATATTTTTTTAAAAACTATTCCAACCACAGAATCAAATGAAGACCTCTACCCCTGCCCCCTCCCGCTCCCCCAATCTACTCACTCCAAAGACTCCACAGAGACCCTGCGGGGTCAGTGACGACAAGCGAGCACCCTCCTCTGGCCCCCAGCACCTCAGCCCCGGCTCCGGGGCTTTGCACCGGCTGCTCCCGCCCCCGCTGCGCTCCCCTCGGTGTCCGCTCCTCCCCGCTCCCTCCTCAGCCGGCTTCCCGCACCCCCTCCGCACCCCACCGCACCCGAGTCTGCGTTTGTGCGGCTCCCGCAGCCCCAGCCCCAGCGCCGGGCCGGATCCACGTCCTTCCAGCCTCGCAGGCGCCCCGTCTCCTCCCGGAACCCCGACTTCACCTCCCCCCGGAGGCGCCCGCGCCCCGCTCGGTCCCCCTCCGGGGCCTCGCACCCCGGGGCGCCCCGCTCCGTCCCCCTCCGGGGCCTCGCACTCCGGGGCGCCCCGCGGGGACCTCCTGGCGGGACCTCCGGCCTCGGCGGCCGCTCCGGGGCCTGAGACCCGCTTTGCCCGGCTCCCCCCGCGGCTCCAGCGCCTCCTCCATCGGCCACCGGTCCCCGTAGCCGCGGCCCCGTGGGCGCCCCGGGCCGGGCTGGGAGCAGGGGTACCGGGGGGACCTCACTCACCGCCCGACTGTGCTGCCCGGACCCGCCCCCCGCCCCGCCCCCCATCCCCAAAACCCACCCCTGGGCAGCAGTGGGGTGTGGCATCAGGCTGGAGGCAGCCCCATCCTCCCTCCCTGGGAAGCAGTGGGCTTCACCCTGATGCCTCCCCCATCTCAGGTCCCCCCTGTCCTAGTGTCTCCTTACTCAGCCCCGTCTCCTTTCTGGCCGCTCTTCCCCGGTCCCACCATTCCCATCAAACCTCACACCTGACATTGCCCCTCCGCTCAGGACCTCATGGCTCCCAGGGCCCAGGAGGCTGGAAAGGTCTGGCCTGACCTCTGCCGCTCATTCCGGCCCCTGTGCCTGGACGGGGTCAGCTGCCTCCTCTGGGCCGTCACTCTGTCCCCCACTGAACTGTGAGCCCGGGGTGGCAGGTAGAGAACTGACATGTCTTCACTGGATCCCCAACCCCACCCAGCACGAAGGGGCTCAAGGAAGTTTTAAAAAAATATATCTTTATTGATTTTATATCTTTACTGATTTCAGAGAGGAAGGGAGAGGGAAAGAGAGATAGAAACATCAACGATGAGAGAGAATCATTGATTGGCTGCCTCTTGCACATCCCTTAATCGGGATCAAGCCGGCAATCCAGGCGTGTGCCCTTGACCAGAATCGAACTTGGGACCCTTCAGTCTGCAGGCTGAGATGCTCTATCCACTGAGCCAAACCAGCTAGGGCTCAAGGAAGTTTGTTGAACAAAGAAGTGAAATAATTGTCCATTTAAACTTTGGGTCCTCCTTTCTTTTGCCCGTTATGGCTTCCTGTGACCACCAGAGGGCGCTCTGACACAATACATTATATATTTAATTCAAAGCACATGCCATCTCGTGGGCATGGAGAAAGGAATAAGGATTTCAACAATTCAGCTCTACTGCGTGTCAGGTACACGGCATTTCTCAGTGCCCCATACACCCCATTTCTACATCAGCAGCTAGATGAGACCTAACCAAGATGGATGAGGGAAGGAAGGCTCAGAGAGGTGGCTTAATTTTCCCAAGTCACACGTCTAAGCTGCAGAGCTCTGGTCCCAGCCTCTGTGCCTTCACCCTCTTTCCTCTGTTCTTTGCCAAGGTCCCCAAAGAGATGGTGGTGCCCAGTGCTGGCCTGCTTGGTGTGGATGGAAGTGCTTGGGAAGGGGGCCTCCAGCCAGGCACCAACCCCAGGATCTGTGTGCTATAGGGCAGATTCTTCTGTCTTAGATGCTGACCTTTTATTTATTCTGACAAAGTGCACGCCTCTACAGCAGTGCCAGTGACTGGGCCGGAGCTGCCGGGGCGCACCGGGATCTGGCCGGCGAGGGAGAGCAATCACACCCAAGAGCTGGGTCAAGTCTGACCAAGTCGGAGAAGATGTTTTTTTACTTGAATCTCCAAATACTCATTTGACGTTTTACACGTACTTCAGATCAGTGGTGTTGGGCCACTACTGTTAGCTCCAAATTTCTGCCCTCACTCATTCTCCAGCTCCCAAAGGCTATTTATTTATTTATTCCCAAATGCGTACTTACACACAGAAAAGTTTTCTGAAGCCTAAAAGTAACCTATAGTATAGAACAGTGTTTTTCAACCTTTTTTGGGCAAAGGCACACTTGTTTCATGAAAAAAATCACGAGGCACACCACCATTAGAAAATGTTAAAAAATTTAACTCTGTGTCTATATTGACTATATATAAAGTAATTCTCTTGAATAGGAACCAAATAAACACAAAGAAAGTATTTTATAATTACTTTATTATGAAATATTAAGTAAACAAAATAGTGAAAAATTATAAAATTCTTGTCTTGTCTGTACCTACGGCACACCAGGCAACATCTCGCGGTACACTAGTGTGCCGCGGAACAGCGGTTGAAAAACGCTGGTATAGAAGACCCCAGTTCTTGAGTTCAACTTTAATTGGGGTGAAGGGCTCATGGCAGGGTAAGGGCAGACTGTGCCAGGGGCTTCGCTAGGGGTTTGTCCTGAGGACACTGAGGGATGGGTTTGCCCAGAAAAGGGAAAAAGCAACATCAGCCCTCAATCT